GTGTTTTCTTTTTGAACATCCTTGAGATAATTGTTTTCAAATTGTTGTCTTGTAAATTCCATTTCTAGAATTCCATGGGGATGATTTCAGTCAGGTTGTTTTGTTTCTCTGAATTGTTCATAGTCTTTTTTTGTTTGTATACCTTGTGGAGTTTTATTGAAAAGTTGATATTTGAATATTATAATTTGGTAACTTAGAAATCAGATTTTTCCTTCCCCAGGTTTTGCTATTTTTGGTATTTTAGAAGACTAATTGTTTAGTGAATTTCCCAATCCTTGGGCAAGTATTTATTTTGTGTCATATGCAGTCACTGAAGTCTTTGTTTCCTAGCTTATATTCAGATAGGGTTTTGACAGAGATATCCTTCAATGTCAGGGGTTATACAAAGTAACAAAGCCAAACCCTAAATGTCTTCCTATCTTTGCAAATCAGCCCTTCAACATTTGGTCAAGCTTGCACTAATCCAGAGTTTTGACAAAGTTGGTTTGATGCTTACTTTTTATTTCTGTTGGAAGAATGAGTAATTGGAATTCCATAATCTGTCATTTTGCTTTTCCTCTTCTTGAATTTTATTTTATTCTGCTTCTGGTTAAGAATTCTATTAATAATTTGATAGGAATAAAAATGTTTTCTTGGTGTTGGGGTTGTAGCTCGGTGATTGATTACTTTCCTGGCACATGTAAGGCACTGAGTTTGATGATCCGTACCACATCACAATAAATAACAAAATAAAACAAAGGTATGGTATACATCTACAACTTAAAATTTTTTCTTAAAGTTTTCTTAAAAATGGTCAACTTGAAAATTGTTTGTTTACAGTAGTCCCTATGTATTTCTGTTTTATGTCTGAGTTTTCACTATTACAAAAATAATTTGTATTATTTAGAATACTAAATATGGCCACTAAATCATTAGGATGCTATAATTAACAATAGAAGAAAGAAAATTATAAAAGTCACAAATTTCTGGTATTGACTTTAGCACTAATTCTTAGATCTCATGGGCATTCCTGTATTTTTAGCACAAATAATTAGCATAAGGAGGCTGATAATTACCCTGATATATGAAATGATGTAATAATCTTTAATGGCTCCTGTGTATATGGATGATGTTAAGACACTATCCTTTGTCTTTACTGTATCAACGTGTGAATATACTTTATAGATTTTTTTAAAAAAATGTACCTTTTAAGGTGTTTTAAATTGAATGAAAACATTTCTGTAGTGTAATGTAATTCATTTAAAACGCACAAATATTTCAAGTGCTTACTAAACCCATAGATTTGTTTTCATCTTGTTTTGAACCAAGTCATTCTCTCCCCAACCCCATTGCTACTAAATATCATATAACTGTGTTGTCGATTGAATAATAATTCAGAGACTAAGACTTTTTATATGTATGCCTTTCAGAATCCATACCTAGTGTGATGTGATACTTTCATTCAGTGTTTTCAGATGTAAATTGAAGGCACAATTGAGTAGGTGTGCTTATTCAGAGTGTTATTCTGCCTCTTTTTAACTTAACCTAGTTTAAAATCACTGGTTCTCCTTTCATGAAGCAGACAGATGTTTGTGCATAAAAAAGTACTACAGAAATCTATTGTAAACCTACCTTCATTTAGCATGATTTCAACAATGCATAGATAGAACTGATTTAGCTAAACATAACTGCAGTTAAAGCTAAGAGTCCAGATTCCATTATACTTTTTTGAAATTTAAGTCACAATTGTACACTATAGATTTAATAAATTAGATACATATGCTACAAATTACTGTTGAAAAATACTAGCCTTTTGTATCTTCATTTAATTTAATGCAACTAACAGTATTTTTTAAAATCGGCCAACTTATTTTAATAAGTGTGAATGTTATGCATTCATTTTGCGAAGTTGCGTGATAATTAGTGAAAGATTGATGTTATATCAATTTCAAACTTCAAATTTGGTTCACAAGTAATGCTGAGTTGTTTCTGTAGATATAGAATTATTGTACATTGTTATATAGTAACAGATCTAATGAATGTTATATTGCATATAATTTATGTATATATTTAAAATGCATAAGTTAAATAAATATGTACAAATTATTTTACTCATTAGTTTACAGTAGGTATTGAAATACCTTTAAAAACCAAATTGTATTCTAAAAATTTACCCGATTGTTAAATTACTTTTCAAGCAAGTGCAAGAAAATCTATTATTGTGAAACACATTTCGGTATTTGTGCTCTCTGATCATTTAAAGGTCTTTGTGTAAGATTACTTTAATAATGTATTTATGTGTGTGTGTATGGCTGGAAAACAGCCTGTACATTCTTGTTGCTGTTATGGCTACCTGACAACTTAGTTCAGGAATTAGAATAGCAACTGAAAACATCATATCAAACTCTCTTGCACCCTCTGTTGTTATTTTTGGGAAACACTGCAATACATTCTTTTGGTTGTATTGTTATTACACTTATTTAAGTCCCTGATAAAATCAATAGTTTATTATACTTACCTCCAAACTAGATTCAACAGTAAAGGAAAATTTGTTTGTAAGTCTTAATTTTTTTTATGTTGCAGCCCCCTTTTTTCATATAATTTAAATGAAAAAGGAGCCTTGTCTGTTTCTTTGATTTCTCCTTGTTACCAGTTTTTAACTCCATGTTTCATACAAATGAAAGTCTTTGCAGGATGTAGTACCTTATTTGTACAGTTTTCCAGAATTGCAGATTCTGTATGTTCTTTTGTAAACCTTTCAATAGTGAGTTTGCTTCCAAAAGAAGAGTCTGAAGTCGTCCATACTAAAATTAAGAATTTATAACTGTACGGAACAGATGTTTTCATAAACATTTGCTATAATTAATTTCAACTAGAGGATTGAAGGAACAAAGCAGTTTTTCCCTCTTCAAAACTTTATTGCCTTTTTCCCATATAACAAACTCTGAAATATTTTCTCTAATATTGTTAGTGAGTGAAATGACTGTGCTCCTTATTTGGTATGTTTTTGAGAACAAAAACTGCTTTTTTTTTTTTAATTACTGTCTTTTGTACCTGGAAAGTTACGTTTAATGTGGCATTTTATTTGATTTACAGTTATAAACTGAAAGAAACCTTTGTACTATCTTATGGTAATAAAAACCTGTTTAAAAAAAAACAAAAGCTTCTTATTTGAATGATTTTATATGTGATCTGATAAATCAGCTTAAAGGAAAAATATTCTGTCAGTAGGATTTTATGTATTTAAATAATCTAAACCTTTAGTTTTAAGGAGAAAGAAGGCTCATATTTTAAGTGTATAATAAAGTTCTTATTCTGTTCTGATATGGAACATTTCACAGGAAACGTCTGCAAGCTGTTAAATAACATGTGTTAAAGGAAATTTTCATTTAGCAATGCAGACAAATTTTCTTTAAATCTTATTTATTATAATAGTAGTAAATTTCTAAAAGAAAATTAATTACATATGTGAGTTTATCTTACCCTTGTTTTCAAAGAATTAACAACAAATACACATCTTGACTAATCTTAAAACATATAAATTTTTGGATTATTTTCTCCTATAAATTGTCATCATTTTTGAGTGATGTGATCCACCTTTAAAGAAAAAAATACCTGGAAATATATTTTGAAAAAAGAGTAGAATTAAAAGTTTAGTAAACAGGCTCAGTCCATTTCTGATCTTTTTGAACTATTTGGCATAGCAGCAAAATACCTTGAAAAAAAACCAACATTCTTGACTAATCTGTCAAATATAAAATGTGTAAAAAAATAGGTAGCTGTCATTAAAATTACATTTCAGTTTTCAGTAACTATTTAATGAGCAGCATAATTATAGAAGTATGGTACCTTAAGTACTATACTCAATAATTAAAAATAATCTCTTTAAACTGAAAGCTCCATAATTACTATTTGACTTAACTAGAACCACTGTGATGATCTCCAGTGGCACCTAAGTTTGTTCAAAGTGAATTAAAAGTATAAATTAATATTGTATAAACCATGGAATTATTAACTTTTAAATATTCTGAAAACAAACATAACCTGATGTTTGAAAGCTATATTATAGGAATTAGGAATATGAAAGTTAATTAGATTCTAGTCTTTTAAGTTAATTTTTAAGAACAAATGATGTGCTTAATTGTATTATACTATGATTTTAGAAAAATCTATAAAGCCTATGTTTTAAAAATTAAACTATTAAATTTTTGTCAATAAGAATGCATATTTTACATTGGAGCATTGCTAAGCTGCTTTTTCCTAAAAAAAAAAAAAAAACAAAATTAGTAAATTTATTTAATAGTGTTTAAAACTGACATGTATGAATTTGTTCTAAATTTGATTTTATAAATATGCTGGTTTCTTAAGTGAAAATGTTTTTCTAAATGCTATAATTGACATACTTTTTGGTGATTTTTTTTTTTATGTTTTAAATGGCTAACTTTCTAAGTTCAAAGAAACTTTTGGCATAAAAAGGCATATTATAAAGTTCATATTATAAATTTACTGATGACTACCTCTGAAGCTTTTGTTTTACCTCTCTGCTTAGAAAATTCCTTTCCTAGACAGCAGCAAAATATGAACAAGAAAATCTTGTAGGTCTGCCCTCTGCTCACTCTCATTTTTGGCTGTACCAGTGGTCAGAATGGGTGACCTAGATACTAACAAAATAACAAAAGCATTGCCATTGCTTATAAACATTAACTTAAAATGAAAAGGTTTACAAGTTTTGGTTTTGTCTGTGATTCATAAAATGAAATGAACTATGCTTCATTTGTTCTTGTTAGCAATGACTTTGGTAGTATTACTAACCAAATCAAGAATGGTGGTGTTTATATTTGGCAATCAAATGAATTTTTTGCCTAAATGGCTCGAAATACAAAAGGTAATTGGAGAGGGATAAAGAAATATATGTTTTGTTGAGTATTATATATCATAGAGCTGTCACACAGTAGTTTTTCAGTTGAAATATTCAATTTTGTAATCTCCATTATTTCTGTGTTTTTAAATTTTTTTTCTAGGAGATTCAAATAAAAATGGAAGAAGAACAAGTTCTACCTTAGACTCTGAGGGGACTTTTAATTCATATAGGTAGGTGGTGAATACATGGATGCGTAACAAGATAAAAATAATTTTATAGGATTACAACCTTAGAATAGGGAGGAACTCGTACTATCTGTGCTTTAAAAGTATTATTGACGTGTAAATAACATTGCAGTCTGTATCTTAGACAACAGTAAACATTCTGAATTCTTGAATAAATGATCATTGCTAATCTGTTGTTATCCTATAGGAGGAAAATTGAAATGAATAGTGTAGTTCTAAGCTTCATTATAATCCATTTTTAGTTATCTTTTTCTGGTATTTCTGTTATAGTACTAAAGGCTTTCGTTTGTTTAAATTTCTCGCTAAAAGAGAATGTACTGCTCATGAGTGCCTAAGGGAGCTTAAAATGTAATTTGTGATTGAATTAAGTGCTGTTTGTTAATATCCTGTTTGGGATCTTTAGCAAACAGGACAGTTACATCTCAATTAGTAATTAAAAAAAAAAAAAAGAAACACCAGTTTAAAAATATGTAATTTAATCTTGTTTTTTAACTTTTTCTCCATAATTTGGTTTTACTGAAGTCAATGTTTATGAATTTTATTCCTTATAACAGAGAAACCCAGGAAAAAGAAAGATGAAAGTTATTTTCAGTAATATTTTAAAATCCATACACTAAACCAAAATGGTGTCATAACTTGATTGTTTTCTTTTAGGAAAAAAAGTACAGATTTATTATTAGTATATTTAAGCATTGTAGATGGCAGTGCACATTTTTGAAGAGATAACTTCAATTGGAATTAAGTGTCCTTATGATTAATTAGTTCTAATAATGTGTAACAACACTATAAAATATATTTTAAGAATCACTGTACTCTTGGAAACCCATTTGAATATTAAACTGTATCTCCTTTTCTACAATAAATATGGAATATATGCTTAGTTTATATTTTTGTTTTTATACATATTATGTTTCCTTAATTGGAACCATGTCATTTGTTTCTTAAGATTCCAGGCAGGCTTTTAACATTTAGAAAAGAGCCTTATTACATAGTAGGCATTTAATAATAATATAGTGAATGAAAAGTTCTTACAATTTGTTTATGAATTCTAGAAATGAGATGATAATTGAAACACTTGACATCTTTATTTTATGCCAATTGGGGTCTGTACAAATAATCAGTCATTTAAGTGTCAGTGATACTAGATAAAGCTATGTTCCCATGGTGTTCTAGAAGGGTATTATCACAGCAGTAAAACTCATATGTTGTCATTATATTTTCACTGTACTCATCCTACCTTAAAACTATTGCAATTCTCCCAATCTTTCTTGTAGTTTGAAAATTGACATATGAAATAATAGGTAGATTCCACTCTCTTAATATGTCACAAATATTCACAATTACCACCAAGAAAGCTAAATATAAAAAAATAGTTAAGCAAGTATTAATGATTTGGCATGTAACTGGGGAATGTGAATATGAGAATACATACTATGGTAATATTATTACGTGTAAATACAGTAAAAACAAAGGGGGGAAAGTAAATATTTTAAAGGAAGGAAGACTTCTCAACATGTTATACATTTTTTGGCTATTTATGTTCTACAATTACATTTGTAGTTTAATCACATTAAATAATGGACATAACATAATGGTAAAGTTTTAATGTGAAGATATAGCATTATCTTATAGTTCCTTTTGTCCTCGAGTAGCTTGGGGATTACTGTATTTTAGTATTATTGAATGTTAACTTTATTTTGAAAATGAACTCTTAGTGCAACTTGGAACAATAAATGATAATGCTGTTAACTAAATATTTTTAATCAATGCCTGTCACTTGTAATGCCATGATATTAATGTATTATTGTAATTAAAATGGCAAGATAAAAGCTTTGGTAGTACAGTATGTAAAAATGGGCTTTTAATAGTCAATAGGCCAGTGCTGCTATTAGATGGCATTATAGTATATAAGGTATGAAATGAATATTTTTCTAGTCAGTAGGCAATAACTGTTTAATAAGCTTACTTGTGAATTTGACATTTGGGTTAAATGTACAATTCTTAGAAGCACAGCTCTGGGGTATATTTTCATTGTAAGGTTAACTGACAAAACCTCAAAATAGTTTCTGAATCATATTAAAATAGTATCAGAATTGTCAAATTTACTTTGTAAATGAAAATTATTTTTCTGATATCATTGTAGTTCTTCAAACTATCTAGAAATAGGTTACCAGAAAAACATATTTTACAGCCCTGAAACATGCTTTGGTGTAACAGTCTACCTTTGTATTATTTAACCTACCTCAGAATCATAACCTTCCTTTATAAACAACTTGGACTTTTATACTAGCACCAGCTCACTCAGGATATGTATACTTGTGTCTAGGATAAATACTACTAGCTTTAGTCTCATCCATAAAAGAGGCAATATAATTTCTAACCTGCCTTAGTTTGCATAACTGTTTTAAAGACTGAGGTAAAATGTGTAAAACAAAGGTTTTTGAAAATCGAAATGCAAAGCCATAGTAGTAATATTTGGGACTCATGTGTACATTACATTGCCTCACTATTTACACCCTTTTATAACATGCACTGATGTTTTATTAACTTTGTCTTATTGGTCACTTAAGTCTGTTTTTCCTATCATTTGTGTTCTTGTAGTATTACATTGTCAAGTTTTGAGGGGTCATAGTCTCAGGGTATTTGTTTTTAAAAATATCTGTACAGAATGTTTTGGTTGAAATCCTTTGAAGTGAGGATAATAAAATTCAGTTGATATAAGGAATTTAATAGGATAATGTCACATGGTAAATGCTGAATAAATATTAGTTGCTTTTATGTTCTAGTCAGTGTCATCATCATCACTGTCATCATCATTAACCTTTTGGTTTTGTAGCAAGTTTTATAGTGCTCTAATATAGAAACAGCAAAAGGAGGAGAGAAAAGAATTCTTACAGGAAAATAACTTGTCTTTTAGCAGAAAAGGAGCTTAAAGCTTGTGAATCAGCTTAACTTGAGGCTCTGTGCCAGGCACAATATTCTTCATTACCTTCCTGCAGTGTATTTGTACACCTAGTAAAGGTGAAGGGAAGATATTTTACTAATGAATTCAAAGATGGATATCTAGAACTTTATTAACAAATAAGTTTTGAAATTTAAAATCAGTGGGTTCTAACTATAGCTTTATGTGCCTAAAGTTCATAGAAATTGTGTTTTTTTATTTGTTTTTTTAAATAGGCTAGGAGGCTTTACTTTAGATTTGTATCTTCTCATGGTTTTACCTTATTGAGTCAGATAGGTTGGGTACAGCTGTATTTAACTCCTAAACCAGTATGATTATCTTATGGTGTTTGAGTGTTAGAGCTGATCTTGTTTTAAACGTTTTGGTTAAAAATCTGATTTATGCCTCCAACTAATTTGCAGATGATGATAAAGTGGAAAATTTGTAAGAATTGAGAAGACATTGGTTTTATGAATGATATCTTGTGCTTTTAAAAGACCAATGTTAATGTTTATGATCAGACTATAGGCTTTCTTTATTTCTTACTTAACCAATAAAGTGGAGAGTCTGGCTTGCTGGGTGTGAAAGAAGAGAAGCAGTTTTCTGATTACTGGTTTGCAGTGGCCATTTAACTTAATGAATCCATCCAGCACAGGGCTATATGGTAGAAGGAATATTCTTTCTCTTCCACCCCTCCTCCTCCCAAGGGCAGCTGACCTTCCTCTCGCCAAAAGAGGCAAGCCCCTTGCCAGCACATACGACTGCAGACTATTACATTAATCTGTTTAGCTGTAGTACCAGCTGCTTGCATGTTTTTAATTATCTTATTAGATGTTATAACAGTGACCTATGAAATAAATTGAAGGTGAACATTTTTAAACTTTTATTACTGTTTCTTAATCTTTTTGATCAAATTATAACTTTTTACAGAAGTTCATAGGAAATCTATGTAGTGCTTTTTTCCCAGATATAATGTCATGATTCCCAATATAGAAAATATCTTCATTTTTTGCTTTATTTATTGATAAGAATTAGATTGTGTTTTTAGTCAAAAAATTCATGGTAAATTTGGCTTACTAGTCAATTTATAGAAAACTCAGACCAGTTATTTGGCATTTGCTTGGGAACTCAAAATATTGCTTAATTTTCACACATCATCTTGGCATTGTATAAACAGCCTATGATAGAATGAAAATCATTGTGGCTTATTTTAAAATAAATTAGTACATTATACTTTTGATTTTCTAGATTCTTATATATACAGTAAGAAATCATCTGGTTTACTCTATTTTTCTCAATTTAATTTCACATGGTACTATGTATGTGTGTATTTTTTCAAACTATCCTGTAAGGAAAATGTACTACTGTATTTTGACAATTGGAAGACTTTCAGATAATAAATTGTAAATGCAAAGTTGACTTCAAGATACACACAGAATAATCAAAACTGATGATGGTTCAATTACAAGTCATAGCCACTAAGCTAAAGATTATAAGAATTTAGTAAGGAATCATGGTGTTGAATTAAAAGTAAGTTGTATGTAAAAACAACTGCAGAAATACTAATGTGTGTCTTTTTAGTTAATAAATCCTACAACTCGGACAGTGGTGTGACTTTGGCAATTAAAATTTTTTGAAGACTTGCCTACTTGTTTTTTTTTTTTTTTTCGAAAATATACATACTTCTTCAATCTTTCTTCTAAAGAGGTGCTATATTTTGTATTCCAAAAGGACATTTGTTGAAGAATATGGTGTATTCTGTAGCTCAATCAAAGGGTGTTTTACGTTGGGAAAAGTGTTTTAAAACTTACAAGTAGGTTTAGCTTTTGCATCTAAAAGTTAAATCTTTTCCTGAACAAGGATATATTAATTCATTTGAACATTCTTTGATCACTAAATCATAAAATAGTTTTCTTTAAATCATTTTAAAAATAGGTGAAAAGGTTTATTACAAAGATTTTTCTGTCCCTCGTTTACATGTAATCAGTACCTTCAGAGCATTTATTTTTAGTTAATACCTTTTATATTTGTATGTAAGAAGTAA